ACCTGGGTTCGATTCCCAGCCCGACTGTGAAACCCACTGGGTGACCTTGGGCTAATCACACTCTCTCAGCCTCAAATGATGGCAATGGCTGAAATCCCCTCTGAACAAATTTTAAAAACTTGAAGGCACAACAACAACAACAATATAGATCTATCTAAACATTTAGTTGTAAATAAACCTGACAAACTGAATTTATATTCCTGACTGGTTTTAGCTTTTATGTTGGCATGTTCTCCATCTTTCTTGAACGTCCCCCATTTAGAGCATGGCCAAGAAGCATGAATATACATTTATATATGGATGTTTTTAGCTTTTATTTTGTCATGTCATGAGCTTTTCTTGAATGCCCTCCATTTTGAGCATGGCTTAACATTTCTATGAGGGTTTTTAGCTTTTATTTGGTCAGGTCCTCCATTTTCCTTGAATATCCTCCATTTTTAACATGATTAAGAAACATAAATTTATAGGAGTGGTTTTTTAGCGTTTATTTGGTCATGTCCTACATTTCCCTCAAATGTCCTCCATAGAACACCCTGTGCATGCTGATATTCCAAACTAACAGGGCTTGTTCTCTGAATTCATACCCAAGTTGCAAGCCTCCCTTCTGGCAGCAGTGTCTACAGCCCTTCCCACCCACCAGGTTTTAAAAACTCACCTCCGAGCCCCTTTCCTGCCAATGCTAAAAATCTTGCCAGGAAAACCCCATGATAGTTTCTCCTTAGGGTTGCCAGGAACAACTTAAATGCATCCCCCAAGGAAAACGAAACCCACTTGGGCAAGTCACACTCTCTCAGCCTCAGAGGAAGAAAATGGCAAACCTCCTCTCAAGCAATCTTGCCAAGAAATGTTTTAAAAATTTAAAAAATGAATTAAAACAAAACCCTGGGGCCCCCAGCTGTTCTGAAGGAATGGGGGCTGGGACCCATCTGGAGACCTAAGCCAGAGGCCCAGGTGGGCCAAGCTGAAGCCCCTTTCCCCACAAGGGAGCCCTGCTGTGCCCCATCCCTCTCGCAGAGGAGCCCTCCCCTTTGGATTGCACCCCGAAGGGAGCCAGAGAGAGCTGCAGAGGTAGCCAGCCTTGGGCACTGTGGACCACAGTTCGAATCCCCACTTGGCCACCGAGGCCTCAGGCACGGTCACACTCTCTCAGCCTTAGGGGGAATCACAGACAAATTCCCTATCTGCCCATAACTGCCAAGGAAGCCGCAGGAGAGGCTCGCCTTGGGACCACCACTGCCGCTCAGCAGGGGCTTGGAGGTCCCCGACAGCCAAGACCCACAAGGAGCCGCCATGGCCAGAGAGCCCTGGAAAGGCCCTCCAGGAGGAAAAGCAAACCTCCTCTGAACAAACTTTGTTGAGAAGCCCTCATGGTAAGTTTGCCTGAAGCTGGAAACAACTTGAAGGCACACAGCAACAAACTATAGTTCCCAGAACCACAATTGGGGCAGGACTTCCGGCTGGTAGGGCAGGATTTCCTACCAGAACGCCAACACTGCTGGCTGGCTCCTTGCAGTCCCATTGTCCTGGTGCAAACTGGGGCGACACAAAGAACCGGGCTGCGCATGCCCCTCCCGTGGCTACCATGCCCTGGCAAACTAGTCTGCATGTCACTTCTAGCACATGTGCCATAGGTTCGCCAACACAGGACTAAGGCATTATAGCTTAGAGGAATTCCAATCCAATTTCAACAAAATGGTGGAAACCGAAGATCCAGCACTTCTATTCTTCATGTACAGTGGTCCCACCACATTTGCTAGGGTTAGGGGCACAAGACCCTCGTAAAAGTGGAAAAACCATAAATAACAAAAACACTATCCACATTTCTGCACTACATTCTTATAGTGATGCTATAACACCTGTCTGCCTCCTGTTGCATTCTGAGGCTTGTAGTCCAATGTGGCCTAACAGCTCCCTGGCTGAGAATTGTAAATGCCCCTCCCTCAACTGCAAATCCAGAATGCATCAGGAGGCACCCAGAACGCTAATAGTGGAATAGTAGCACTATAAGAGTGTCGTGCAGAAATGTGGTATGTTTCCACCTGAGAGAATACCTCTCTAGGTCCTCCAGTGCAACTCTGGTCAACATCAACACAACAAATTGTGCTGGAGGAGCTACAAATGCCTAGTGGAGTGTTCTCTGTAGGAATCTCTAGGTCCTTCAGTGCGACTTTTGGTTAAAGTTGACCATAGAGTTGCGCTGGAGGACCTAGATATTCCTAGAGAACATACTAATACAATCCATGAATAATCAAATCCGCAAAAGTGGTGCTCAATGTTGGGAAGTTCTCTTGAAAGAAATAATTTGGAAGGTCTTGAATCAGTTGATTAATGATATATGTTTTAATATGGTTTTAATTTTTTGATTGTTTAATCTTGTTTTAACTTTTGCATCTTGTGGATTTTTAATAATGTCTTCTTTAATTGTTGCAAGCTGCTTTGAGTCCCGTTCTGGGGAAAAGGCGGGAAATAAATAAATAAATAAATGGGTTGAACAATTAAATATTGCCACTCTGAAAAACACACTTTTTGAAAGAGGTATTTCATGCCACAGCCACTATTTTATGATTTTAAAATGTGTGGTTCTTCTCTAAAGAAAAAAAAATTAAATCCCAAATACAAAATATTTTTTTCAATTTAGAGTCACTCACTTGTCCACTTTTCCTTCTGTGCTGTTTATGAGGTTCATTAGCTTGTTCTGTGCATCATCTAACATTTCTTGCTTTAGTTCACCTACAGAAATAATAAGAATTTGCTGCTACAAGGAGAAAATAAACAACACAGATGTGTTCACAGAATGTCTTAAAGGGAGTATCAATGGGTCTAGTTTTACATTTATCTACAGATATGAATAAGCAGGGTCCAAAACTCCACCTGGGTCATATTTTTTTCACAGAAAACCTGAGATTTTACAAAAGACGTTTCCCAAGCTTTTGTCATATACAGTGCAGTAATAGCTTGCTTTTTCACAAATGGTCTAAAGGAATCTGTCCAAAATTTCCACACAATGAAAAATATTGTAAGTTAGCACAAAGCAAACATTACTTCAGAGTTGTTTTAGAGAATGGTGACACATATGGAAAAAGCTTTACTTAATACCTTTCAATTTCTGTTAAAATACCTGTCACATTAGTCTGACAGAACGGAAAGTGAGTCAAAGCACAGATAGAATGATATAAATTCACCACTCATGATGTCATTCAGCCTTAGTTAAATTATATAAAACTGGGAAAATAAGATCTCCTAAAATAATTCAGCCTGTAATCCTAGACACATTTACTAGTGAGTAAACTCCACAGAACATAGTAAAATCAAATAAGCATGGTCCAGACTGCATTGTCAAGAATTCCTTCCATCAGTGGCAATGAAAGGGGGAGCTCCCCTCTCCATTGCAACCCTTTGTGCACCCCAAAAGTCTGCTCAGGAGGCTGGAAAATCCTCTAGAGCTGTTTCCGGATTGGTGCCAAGGGTTACAGGAGGGAAGGGGAAAGAAAGTAAGTTTCGGTCTTTGAGAGCAACACTGGATTTGAGAACAACACTGGATTTAGGTGAGCATAGTACGCTTAGATACTCTCACTTGAGAGGTTTCGGTCAAGGCAGATCACAAAGTTATTCACAATGCATGCACAAGAACTGCATAGAGATCGACAGCAAAACATTTTTCAAGTTATTTTGGAGGGATAAACTGATAGGACCAATCTAGCTTCTTTTCATTTGAAAAGAATGAAAAGAATAAAAAACAATTTTTATGCATATGCACCAGTGTTTCATAGTACTCATAAGGTACATATTTACTAGTAATCTCATTTCATATTAAACATTAGTATGGACCAGTTCGGACACAGTGCTCTTCTATAGTTTGCATATATAATGGAATGAGAAGAAAGCCTCAAGGGCCTTATGAATTTGGAAGCAACTACTGATCTTGAGAATATACTGAGATATAGTGGCAACAAGCACCTGACTTCATAGAAAACCAAATATATGCATTTGAGATTGTTTCTATCTAGTTTATAGTTCCTTTATGGGACAGTAGGATTTGTTGCCATTTTCAGAAAGAAGCATGCTTTTAAAGTCCACAGAAATGTCTTTAAGATTATCAAATAATGATATAAACCGGCTTACCTAAGCCATCTTAAAATTAGAAGTGGGTGGCATCCTGATATTATCAGATGCATTTAGTTGATGAAATCGCCATCCGGGTGCAGTCCAGCTGCATTGCCACTCAGAGGGGCGCTCTGGTGGCCATTTTTTCAAGCCGGAAAACTCCCAGCTTCAAAAAGAGGTGTGAGGAGCACTCCTTCGAGCGGCGATATAGCCAGGCTGCACCTGGGCAGCGATTTCGGGGGCTAAATGCATCTGATAATATCAGGATGCCACCCACTTCTAATTTTAAACTGGCTCAGGTAAGCCAGTTTATATCATTATGCGATAATCTCCTTAATGTAAATGAAACTTAAAACTCAGTTTCATGAACATAAGATAAATTGCATCAGCAATTCAAATGCTCATTCTGTCTGAGAGAATACGTTTTTGATTCTAAAAATGTGAATATGCATGCTCAATGGATCTGTTCATTTTAAAAAGGTATGGTAGACAGTGCCCTTTTACAAAACATAAGGGGTAAAAATGGTACTCTGACAACATCCATGAGATTAGACATGACATTTGCAAAGGTAAAGCTTTAAAAGGATCAACAGTCATTTAGTAATACTGAATGAACCCTTATTTGCACACAAATTAGAATGAAGCTTTTAAAAATACAGAATATAACTGTAGGACAAAAAAAAAAAAAAATGAACAGAGCCATATGGAACAAGTTTTAAGAAGATGGAAGTTTCCCCCCACCCAGAAAAAAAGCTTGCCACACAGTTCTTTCTATCAATTATGAAGGCTTGTCAAGGGTGCACGTTTTACATTTGCTAAAGAGGAGGAAAGAGACACCAGAAATCACTTGTCCTTCACTGGTCCTGTTCAAAAGAGAAGTCTCAGTATGGCTGAGAGCCAGTGTGGTACAGCAGTTTGAGCACTGGACTAAGATTCCAGAGACCAGAGTTCGAATCCCTACTCAGCCATGGAAATCCACTGAGTGACCTTGGCCAAGTCATACTATCTTTGCCTCAGAGGAAAGCACTGGCAACCCTGCTGAACAAACTCTGTCAAGAAAACCCCATCACAGGGTTGCCATAAGTAGGAAATGACTTGAAGGTGCACAACAACAACAACAACAAGCAGAACACATCTATTCCATCTTTTCATTTAATACAAATAAAAGTGTAATGGCAGCCCTTAGAATTTCAGGTTAGAACTACTGAAACCAAGATTCCAATTACTATTCTGCCATGGAGCTCTCTCTGTATGACCTGTGGTCAAACACTATCCTTCATTCCAACCTACTTCAGAGAATTGTTGTAAGGACAAAATGAGATGGCGAATCACATCTCCCACCTTCAGCCTTTTGCAGAAAAATAAGAAAGAAAAAAGTAATTCATTTTATTAATATATTATTTCCTTCAGCTAAACCATCAGGCTAAATTTAGTATTACACAAAGGCTGAATGCTCATCTATTTGTGTAATCAACTTCCTCTATCATTTTTCTCTACTGTATAATTCACTTCTGAAAAAATACTTTAATTAATGGGTATAAAAAGGACAGGGCAGAGCTAATTTTTGGCACAGGCTCCTGAAAATTAGACACAATATTCTCCTGCAATTTGTTAACCATTTATGGAAATTCAGAAACCTCTATCTGGTATGCCTTCTGTTTTTCCATTAATACAATTTCTGCTGCCAAAAAAATCCATTTAAAAATTCTTTCAGCAGTTTAGGCCAACAATCTGTGTCTGGGAATGTATCTGGCCACTGTTCAACAAGACATTATATGTTTTCCTGTGTAAATAACGTATTTTGAATACAGTCTCCTTTTTATTATTCTTAAATTGTCACATTTGATGGGTGGTGGGAAGGGAAGAGCGTTCCAGTTCCATTTCTAAATCCTACTCAACACTTCATATCCACAATCTGTGCCAAAAGTATGGTCTAAAGGAGACTATTATATTTTTGATTATACTGGTAGCACACTTGCCAAGATGCTGACCATCACTACTAAAGGGCTCAACAGACGGCCCCTAAGGGGAGGCTCCATGCTGTCCCTGGGAATGCCAGACTGGGGCCGTGGCAACCACACACTGATGCCCCAACCTGGCACTTTGCCGCTCTAAAAAGAGCTGGCAAATGCCACTCCTTTTTAGAGTGGCAAAAAGCCACCCTTGCCACAGTAACTTTTCAGCGCTCCTTTGGTGTAGCGTGTATGAACCTGTGCCAAGGAAGGGCCCTGATGCCGTCCATCATCTGTTTGGGTGGGCGGCATGAGGACAATGTGGAGACGGAGTCGGGACAGCCAGCGTGCGGTCGCCACGCCCCGACTCCATCCCCAGGCCGGCCCTTGTTCCCAGTCTGTACAGCCCCTAAGTTAACCACAGAAGGAGACGGGGAAGGAATATTCTTTCTTCAGCTCCCATCATCAATGTTTTCTATGGAGTTTATCGCACAGGGAAAATTGGAAGTTTAAATGGATCAGAATCCGCAGTTATCCAGCGTATTAGGTGCAATTGCGCTAATGGTTTTCACACAACTTTGTGTGCAAACCACTTGGAATCCAACAGGAAAGTGACATGAACCAGCAAATAGGCATTTTTGGGAAAATACCATAAATTCATTTCCATTTCATTCACGAATTCACTTTTTTTGTGCAACTGCTCTAGTCTGAAAGCCATTTGTGGGATTCTTCCCGTTTCTGCACTTGTTGCCAAATTTCCCATAGTTTTTTGGAGTGAACAGCCAGGGCTCTTAAAGGAGCAGTTGCTGAGGCAAAGGCAGGGACTCGAAAAAGCTTGCTTCGCCCCTCTCCCTTCCCCATTAGCTGGGGCTCTTAATGGAACAGCCACTCAGGGAAGGCAGGCACCGGTTGCCCAGAGGGACACAGCCTTTTATGCTGTTTTTCTACCTTTCCTACTTCTTTGGGTAATGTTTTATTCTTTTTACTTAGGTTGGATAACATTTCTTGGAAAGTAAAGGACAGTACAGTATATTTTTTATAAAGAAAATTGTATAAATAAAATTGTTTATTTCTCTGGGTATTTTCTGATGACACAACTACTTCTTCTGTGAGCACACGCAAAAAAAGTGACTGCCAAACCATTATCGGGCTTTACATACATCTGTGTGAATACCAAATGTGTGTTCTAATCTCTTTCTTGCTTTAGTAATGAGCTTTTAATGCGTTATTGTGTTCTGCATGTGAAAATCATTCATGCATTGCAAGCTTTTGTGGGCTGTGGCCACTTTAATCATTATCAGAATGGAGGTTCATAATGGTCCCCGTGTTATAAATTCCTATGAGAAAGCTACAATGGTTCACGACAATGGTGACAGCCATATTGGAAAATGGAAGGTAAGAAAAAGGTGGAGAGCTTTATCCTCAGACTTTCCATCCATCCATTCACTGGTACAGTCAGGGACTTCTCCAGGTTCAGTCTTAGCCTCTGCTCACTAAAAACTGTCCATAGTCTGTAGACACTAAGAAATATAACAATTTCAGAAATACTGAGCCTCTGTCCTGGCAAACTATGCAGTTAATTTCAGTAGGCTATGCAGTTAATTTCAGTAGGCTATGTGGAACATTTCTTCCTACCCCATTGCTATGCTGTCTTATTCACCTGTGAGATCTACATTTGCTTTCATTAGAACCCTAAATTAGCTTTAGTGCAAAAGACAGAAACTTAGATGAATTTTAAGACAAAAAAATTGTATACTAGTAGTGAAAGAAGTTCAGTTTTTTCACACAGGAACTTTAATCTTTCTTCATTTCACTAATATAATTCAGGGGTTAGCAGTTAATCAAAAGTGAAAAATCTTTGTCAATCTACTAAAAATTATCTAAAGTTCTGCTAAATGATTCAGGTTTCCTTTCTGCTCATCCTTGACTTACACGGTACAAAGAAATGCATACACTCAGGGACACCCTTCAGACAGTGTTGAACTTGGTAGATTCTGTGCTCTGGTAGACTCAATTTTCAGGAGGGACAGGTGCTTCCACTCTTGTCCCATTTCACTGAAACCTATTTACTTCACCTTACACAATTCTATGATAAAAGTGAACCCCAGTCCTTATCTATAGAAACATGCCTTCAGAATGTGACAGAATAAGAGGTTGGTACTCACCCTGAATTATCATTCTTATAAGAAAGACTACATGAGCAATCCACACTCATGGGTTTTCTCCTCATGGCAGCTGATCAAGGCAGAAATCCAAAGTTCTTTCTCACTGGAAACCTTAACTTTACTCTTATTCTGATCAATTTATTTATAAAGAATTACCACATACTGTATGTCTTTTACCAGGTATATGTCTTAAAGTATGTTACAATTGTAGAAATGTTTTGCTGCTTTATTTTGTTTAGGTATAAATGTTTTGTTTTGTTTTTGTTAATAACCCAGGTGGGAGTGGATTGTTCTAGTCATCATACAAGAGTAATCATTTATAGCAGGGGTAGGCAACCTTTCCCCTTTAAGGGCCAAGGGACTTCAGCTCCCAGAAGCCTCAGCCATGTTGGCCAATAGTCCCATGTTGGCCAATAGCTCCTGGGATTCTGGGAGCTGAAGTCCCTCGGCCCTTAAAGGGGAAAGGTTGCCTACCCCTGATTTATAGGGAGTATCAATCTCTCATTCTTTGGATGACTACCCAAGTAATCCACACTCATGGAATACAGCCAAGCCCATAATCATGGGTGGGTGTGCTTCTCACTATCATTGATCACTGTCTGCAATACAGTCCTTCCAAATGCCTCCTGAGCAGCTTTATATTTGTCTAACTTGTAATACCTTATGAAAGCTGAAACGTCTTCCAGAGAAGCAATCACTTGAAAAGCTCTTGTTGTGGCCATCTATCTAGTTGATAAAAGTGACTAGAGAGAGAAGCGAGCCAACAGAAAAGAACTTTGGACTCCTGCCTTGATCAACTGGCACAAGAGGAAAATCCATGAGAGTGGATTGCTCAGGCAGTCATCCAGGGAATGATGTCAAATAACAGAAATGTTGGGAACAGGCTATATCCTAAGCATTATTGGATACCGTAACATATGAGGTCAATGAGAAAGGCCTTTTGCATGTCTTTGGAATTTTAAATGTAAATTAAGTGATTTGAAATCCAATACAAACTTCAAGTTACTAAGAGGAAGTAATTCTACTACTGAACCAACATAAGAGTTAATGAAGCAATCAAAATTCTTAGTCATTTTAGTATGAAATGGATTCATGGGTATAGACAACTTGAATGGTCAAAACAAGTAAATTCACTTTCCCAGTTAAATGTGTGAAAAACTTAATTTTTCTTTAACAAAACAAGATTTTGACTTTGCACAACTATCCACGATTTAACAACATCTTGCTTGCTAAAGTATCCAGTGGCCTTTATTTCCAAGTGGTACTCCCATCAACAACTAATGTTCTTCTAGACCAGTTCTATAAAGCAATTTACAGAACAGATGCCCTGATCACATGGGAGGGTTGCCCCTGATTACTGTGGCAAAGAGATGGCAAGTCCAACGAACTCCAACAGAGTCTAACAAAGGTTATCCATCTTTGTCATGGATAATCCCCTTAGATTCTTATCTGGAGATACTTAAAAATTTAGCAGGTAGCCCATAGGAGCAGCTTTACTACACTGTTTATTTGTTTTCTGGCCTATATACCCTAAAGCCTGGTGGCGCAGTGGTTAAATGCCTGTACTGAAGCCACTGATTCATAAATCACAAGGTTGAGAGTTCAATACTAGCCAGGGCTCAGGCTTGACTCAGGCCTGCATCCTTCCGAGGTCACTAAAATGAGTACCCAACTGTTGGGGGACAATGAGCTTACAGTTGTAAACTGCTTAGACATCCCATAGCGCAATATGAAGCGGTATATAAATGAAGCTGCTTTGCTTTGCTTTGCTTAAGTCACCAGATCCCATCTAATTTTGTAAGCCAAGCAGAGTCAGCCCTGGTTAATACTTGGATGGGAAGCTGCCAATGA